AGATGAACATTAGATCTGGTTTTTATTTTTTGGCTATAGAAATTTTTTTTTTTTTTTTTTTTTTTTTTTTAAAATTAATAAAAATAATATTAACTAATTATTATTTATTTATATTATATTACCATATTTAATATTATAGGTTGCAGTTTCATCGATCCCATCCCCAAATAAAGATGGTTGGTTAACAAAACAAGGGGGTTCAATTAAAACCCGGAGAAAAAGATGGTTTGTTCTCAAAGGTAAAAAACTTTATTATTTCAAGGGAAGAAATGTAAGTTTTATATTTCATGTGTTTTAATCAAAAATATTGTTAATGCTGCAATATTATTGTGTATTTTTTTTTTTGATTTTTTAGTGTGTGGATTTTTTTAAAAAAAATTTTTTAATTTTTTTTAAAAAAATTTAAAAAAATTTTGGAAAGATTTATTTTTTTTTTATGGAATATCTCTTTGACAAAAAAAAAAAAAAAAAAATGAAGAAACGATGAATATTAACTGATTTTTTCTATTTTTAGGATTTGGAAGCTACAGGTTTAATTGAATTAGAAGCAAATTCAATCGTTAAAGAAGAAAAAGATAAAGATAAGAAAAAGAAATATATGTTTACTGTTGGTACTTCAAAGAGAATTTTCTATATTTTTGCCGAAACTGAAGGTGATATGAAATCATGGATGGATCAAATTAAAAAGAATTTAGAAGGAGGCGAAGGTATTGGTAAAAGCCCATCAGAAATGTCAGCTTCACCAAAACTTAACTCTAACGAAAACTCACAACCAAAGAGTCAAGGCACTCCAAGTGAAAAACAATTAAGTGCTTCATCACCAAGAAATAAAATTTCAAATGCTAAATCAGTTATACCATTTTTAAGAGAAGTAAATATCATTATTGTAGTGAATAGTGCAATAAAAATAATAATTTGGATAAAATAGATAGAATAGCAACACAAATTAGAACAAATGATATTAATTTTTTATTTTTATTATTTTTATAGGAGGAAAGCAAAGTTTTAGAGTTCTGGCAAATTTGGTCGGAATCAATTCCACCACAATCAGATTTACAAAGCGGTACATCAATCGAATTCCATGTTGCCACATCAATTGATATGCAAAAATTAACTTGGAGAACTGCTGGTCCACAAAATATTTTCATTCAAAAGATGGTAGATTTCTTCTGGAATGTAGGTGCACCAGAAAGCGAAATTGATAGACTTAATGATGTTGGTGCTATTATTAATCCAGTTAAAATTGGTTCATGGATCGATATGTCTGATAAAGGTGGTATGGATGGTGGTTGGTATTTCCCAGTTGATATCCCACTTAAATTAGCCATCGAAGCTTCTGATGCTGGTGAACCAACTCGTAAAGTAAGTTGTTTAATATAATATACTATTGTTATAGTTTAAACCAGTTGATATTAACATTGTTTTCTATTACATTACAGTTAGCAGAATGGGCTGAAGCCAATGAAGTTATTAATTGCTTCTCAGTTGGTAAGTTTTATTTATTTTATTAACTTTAATTAAAATTTTATGGTAGTGGTTTAATTAACTCTATTGTTTTTATTATTACTTTAGGTCGTGATATGGGTGCAGCACCACCAAGACAAACCGAAATTCGTCTTAAATTACCAGGTCCAGATTTTATTGCACAATTAAATCTTGCAGTTGATGCATTTAAGACTTTCGATTTCCCAGCAATTCCAAATAGCGCATTAGAAATCTTATATCAAAGCTCAAATACATTAGAATCAGGTGGTTTATGTTTAAGTGTTATTACATCTAGTGAAGGTTTTGTTAGATTAGGTCTCCTCATTCCAAAACCAACTCGTGATGTTGTCTCACAACTTTGTGAAATTGGTCAAGCTAACAGAGAAAGAATTTCTAAATTCGAAACTGCTTTAGGTGGTATTGGTCCAGCTTTTGTCGAATTCCAATATTTACAAAAAGGTTTTGGTTATACTGTTTATAAAGAAGGTAAGTTTCTCTCTATTTATGTTTACAAAATAATTTATTGTTTTATAATTTATTAATTCTTTTTTTTTTTTTTTCTTTTCTTTTCTCAAAAATAGGTTTCGATATCGTTTTTCATTATATGGTTGGAGAAGATCATGCAGAATAAATATTTATTAATAATTTTTATACAAAATGATTTTCAACTTATTTAATATATAAATCAAAAAAAAAAAAAAAAATCAAAAAAAAAAATATCTAAAAAAAAAAAAAAGATAAATAAATAAATAATATTAAAAAAAATTGTAGTAATATATTGATAACACACAAATAAAAGGACAATAATAGTCTACTTGTTTTATTCACTTATTTTTTCAAATTAATCCAATATCAAACCAATAATAAAAAAAAAAAAAAAAAAAAATAGGGTTCGGCTATTAAATTTCAAAAAATCTTTTTTTTAATTTTCTAAAAAAAAAAAATGGATATCATTATGATGATTAAAAAAAAAATTGTTAACAAAAGTATCTTTTTTTTTTTTTTTTATGATAAATTGATCGGATTTTTTTCTATTTTTTTTTATTATTATAAAAAAATTTTAAAAAAAATAAATTTTATATAAAAAAACCTTTTGGAAATTTGGATTTTTTTCTTTAACGGAATAGCATTGCTCATCAAGCATATAGTCATTGGGTTAATTGGAGTGCACTAAGATATTTTATAAAGAGTTTTTTTAAATATTTATTTTATTATTATTTTTTTTCTTTTTTCTTTTATAATTTTTTTTTCTAAAAATCAATATATTTTTTCTATTTAATAAAATTTTTTTTTTTTTTTTCATTTAGATTATTTCTCATACATATAAAGTATATATAAATAAAAAATGAATAAAATCTTTTCATTATTATTAGTTTTCTTATTAGTCGGTTCATCATATGCCAAAATTGATGAATGTAATATGTGCATTGACTTTGTCAACAGCTCATTAAACGATTTAATTAATATTATCTTAAGTAAGTGGTTTAAATTATTTAGTTTTTTTTATAAAATCAAATATTAATTTTATTTCTAATTTTATTATTATTATTATTATAGACTCTGGTGTTATTGGTTCATGCGCTGATCTTTGTGGTAAATTACCAAACAACATTTTAGCTGACGGTTGTGATCTCCTTTGTGACTACATTGGTATTACTGAATTTGTTAAATTACTCTCAGAAGAAGACCCAGATCCAATCTACATTTGCGAATTAACCAAGATCTGCAGTTACAACGATAATGCTAATGCTACCATTACCGATCTTGCTATCAACCCAGTTAACGGTACTGTTGGTGGTACATTCACCATCGGTGTTGCTTTCACTGTTTCAAACACTATTGCTACTGGTGAAATTGCTTTCGGTATTGTTGACCCACAAGGTAACTCATTCGGTGATGCTGTTGTTGTTGTCCAAGCCACTCCAAACCAATACTCCTCATCATTCCAATTCCAAGCCACCCCAAGCGAACAAGAAGCTTTCCCATCAGGTGAATACGAATTAATCATGCAAGTTTGTGAAGGTTCATGCGGTTCACCACATCCACACAGCAAACTCTTATCCCAACAATCCACCAACTTCACCATTACTGGTAGTGACTCATCAAACTCTGGTGGTTTCTCATCTGGTTCTTCACAATCAGGTTCACAATCTGGTGCTGCTACAGGTACTGGTAATAGCGGTCAAGTCCATTTTTAAATATAATTAATTGTTACGATTGTATATAAAAAAATAAAAATTTAAAAATAAACATAATTTGTCTATTTAAATAATTTGTTAAATCATCTTTTAATATTTTTTAAATATTGTTTTTTTATTTGAACTAAAAAGGATAGTCTCCTAGTATTTATAACACTGTTTTCAATGTTTTTAACCTCGCCTACAATCTGTAATGTAAAGATCTCAAATATATTCGAATACTTTAATCCGACACCAACATCAGTGTTTATTGAAAACCAATTAAAATTAACAATTCTAGAAAATTTAAATTTAATAGAATCATTTTGGGTATTACCAATTATATATTTTATATGGAAAATTTTTTTTAAAGAGATTAATATTAAATCTTCAAAATCACCAATCATTCATCACATAGTCTTGGTTATAATTTTAATTACAATCTTTTGGTTTGTTATCCAACCTTTGGTTTCAAATGGTGTTATTGGTGTATTTCATTCAAAATATATAATTGGTAATACCCATAAAATGAAACCATTGTTTAAAGCCTGTGTATATAGGGTTTTGATTTAATTATTCAAATAAAATTTTTTAATTAATTATAAAAAAAAAATAGGTAATGGAAAATAAAAGTATTATAATTAATAATTAAAATTGTAATTAATTTTTTTTTTTTTTTTTTTTTTTTTTTTTTTTTTAATGTATTTTCATTCAGCTATCATACCAA